TTGACTTTCCCTTTGCCTTATGGCCTTGGCCTTCAGACAAGGGTATTTGTTTTTGTTTCCCTCCCCCGAATTGAGGTTGGGTTTTCGCTTTGTTCCATTCTTCGGCTCGGATGAACTTATCCGAGGCATTCAGAGCTTCCTCCAAGGTCTGCAGGGTATGCATGACCATGAAGTCTAGGAACTTCCCGGGCTGAAGGCCATTCTGCATTGCAAAAACGGCTAGCCCCTGGTCCAGCTGAGAGACGCTGGATGACTCGTTACTGAAACGGGTCAGATAGTCTCGGAGGCTTTCGGTTTCCCCCTGTTGTAGACTCATGAGTTCTGCAGTAGTCTTCTCTCGGCGGTTTGCCGTGGAAAACTTGCTCCTAAATTTAGAGGACAGATCATCCCACCCTGTTATGGAGCCTTGCTTTACTCCCTTGGAGATCCACGCTTGCGCGACCCCCTTGAGAGTGGTTGGGAAATATTTGCACCAAGTCGCTTCGGATCTGGGGCAAAGATGCATATGAGTCTCATACGAGGCCACGTGATCCTTCAGATCCGAGGTCCCGTCATATGTGATGTGCGACGGTATTTTAACCGTGGGCACGTGCTCTTCCAGAATCCATTGCTCGAATGGTGAACTGGCGGGTAGCATAACGGCCTTGCCCTTGTTCCTAGCCGAAGGGACCGCGCTCCGCCCTCTTAGAGAGGTAGGAGTGGTTTTCGTCCCTGGCTGGGAAGTCTGGGCCTCGGCCGCAGGGAACGAGAGGCGACTGCGCACGCTCGGTTCCTTGCCGCCGAGTCGGTCGAGGACGCTTCGGCAAACAGTCTCAGGTTCTCGGTGAGTAGATTCTGGCCGAGAAGCTGAGCTGCTGCTCTTATGCGTCTCTGGTCGGGAGGATGAGGATCCTTTTAAAAATTGAGGGTTCTTTTTCCTTTTTTTTTCATTTTTCCAGGTATCCTCTTCCCACTCTTCCAGTTCCCGTAAGGAAGGAAGCTTCCCACCATCATGGTCTAGCTTCCTCCGCTGATGCCGAGTATGCGGAGGAGTTCGATCACGAGGTGGTGGCATATTTTGTGCCCTCATCGCCTCCATGAGCACTGCCAGCGCTCTTGCCACCTCATCCGAGCTGGGCCCCGTCAAAGGGGTCCTCGGCCGAGTATGGGAATGAGGAGGCACATTCGATGGTTGGCTTTGGGGCACTGCATGTGTCCTATGATCGGACTCACCCCTGCTAGACCGAGAGTGACTCGGCCTATGATGAGAGTCATGAATTACGGGAGAAAGGGAATCCTCCTTGTATGATCCTCCCCCGAGCTGGAACCCTTGGGAGAGTTCCGGTCCGGCGAGGGTGATGGTGTAGGGGTTTTAGGCTTTTCGCCCGCTCCTTGACGGAGGCCTTTGCTCTTGCGGTTCTTAGCCATTGCCACTAAGATAATTGCAAGATGATCTTGGTTAGAAATTTGGCTTAAAGATTTTTGAAAGTCTTCCCCACAGACGGCGCCAAATTGTTTCGGGTGAAAACAATGGGACCTTGCCGAAGGTCCGAGAAACGGAGAAGACTAGATTCGGTCCAAGTTATGTTGGGCCGAAGGTTTCCTGCACAGTAAACACACGTAAACTAGCCTCGGGGGTGTTGCCGAGGAAGGCCCCTCCGATGCTAAAGTCAGTACAGTGTGTAGAAAGAGAACACTATGCAAGAGAATTAGTTGCTTGAGGCTTTTCTTGAATGAATGAGAATCTGAATGTAAAAATGTAATATTGATAGCTTTTATACCTCTTCATACATGGAGAAGTTGGGCCTTAGCCCAATTGGCTTGCCTTGAGGGCTGATCTTTGAGTTTAGCACAATTGGAGAGATGAACCTTGACCTTGGGCTTTTAATTGGATCATTTAATGCCTAAGCCCAATTGGACTAAATTGGACCCAAACAAAAATAAAATTAGTTATTGTACGAGTTGCAAACTTAAGGCCATGTGAAATTATAAACGAAGCTAGCTAGAGGGGGTAACGATGAAACAGCATGCATTGACCTAAATAATTAAAATCATATCAATCAAAGAATAAAAATAATATGCACAAACATTATTTTTTTTTTAATTTTGATTATCATTGTTTTAATAATTTTCAAAAGGCTGAAAGTCAACTAACATTCTGGATTAATCTTGCATAATTCATGTTCAAGTTACAAGTTGTAAAGAATGAAGTTTGTGGTGGATGCGTGCATCAAGACATGATTAATTTTGATAATGATGAAATACAATTTTTTAATGCAAATTTTTTATTGAGGAAAATGTCATCTAATTGTTATATAAGGCAAAACACAAGAACCAACTTTGTCATCCGAGGTTATTAACAAACCTTAATAATATAAATAATTACGATTAATAAACTAATAATTAAGCAAAAGCGTGTTATAAAAAAAAATGGCTAGTAAGGTTTTGTTTATGTTGCTAATCTTAGCAATTTGTAGCACTTTTGTGATTTGTAATGCAGGTGGTTCGAAGAAGAATCTTCATAACAAACATAAAGAAGGTTGGAAAAATGGTGGTGGTTATGATTCTTTTGAGCCAAAATATGACAATGGTGGTCTTAAGGATGATTTTTACCATAAGAGCTGCCCTCGAGCAGAAGAGATTGTGCATAGTGTTACAGAAAGACATGTCTCTAGTAACCCAAACTTGCCTGCAAAGCTCATAAGGGTGCTCTTCCACGATTGTTTTGTTCGGGTATGTATTTGAATTTTTATGTACCTATTATGTTCTTTTGTAGCCGTAACATTTGATATTTTTTGCTTGTCAATGTATTTTATAACATTAATTTTTTTTTTTTATTATTATATTTGTTTTAGTAAAACTTTACCAAATTATCTTTGATTATCTAAGTAAACTTTTACCACAATCAATTATCTCAAGTAAATTATACCAAAATTTCTTTATTTACATATAATAACTTAGAAAATATATTTTCCATAAAGGCCGGTGTACGTTAATTTATAGTGAGACGGGTAAAGTTATCTTTAAAGTAATTAAAGTTACCCTTTATATTATTAAAGTTATTATTTTTCTAATAATAAATTTTATTAAAAAAAAACTTACATTGTTTTAGATTTATCCTATTAGCCTTTATAGTATGTAATTATAAATGTATAAGAAATTATACATTAAAATAAAATTCAAACCAACAACAAATTAAAAGTTATCCATAAACTGACCGTTTTATAATAAAATTAATGTACATACACCCGCTTTACACACGACTTATTGCTTAAAAAAATGCTCGGGGATCATCTAAATTTTAAAATAAAAGACGTATGGAGTACAATATAAATTTCATGCAAATATAAACTGAGTACAGAGTACATAAAAGTTGGATTATAAATTTGGATTATTTTTTCTCCTTTTGGCTAAATAGGCTACCTTATGCGGTAAAAAAAAAATATATGTTGTATGTAGGGGTGTGATGCTTCAGTGTTATTAAACTCGACGGTAATACCTAAGCGGAAAAAGATGCAAATGCCAATCGAAACTTAGCTGGATTTGATGTTATTGACAATATTAAAGCAGAAGTTGAGAAAGAGTGCCAAGGAACTGTGTCTTGTGCTGATATTTTGGCTCTAGCTACTCGGGACGCTGTTTCTCTCCAAGTAAGTTACTTCCAATTCATTATGTAGTAGTTACGAATTGAAAATACAATCATATACTTTCTCCGTTTTCTTACTTGCAACTCTTCTCTAAAAAGGAAATGTCACAATACTTACAACACACTATAAAAGAAAAGTTATTTTAGGGAAAAACTATACTATTTCCTTTATTTAAAGCACATGGCCAACTAAATTACACTCCTAACAGCCACTCATCCTATTTTAAAGTTTATTATATCATGTAAATCCCACCTTTCTTAATTATCGCGCTAAAGGGTGTGTTGCATCTAAAGGAAAACGGAGGAAGTACTTGATATAAGATTGCTACGCATGCTTAAAACTTAAATTGTACTCTTTCCATTTCTAAATAATTGACACATTTGACTTTTTCACTATTCATATACTAGCTTTGACCATTTTATCATAAAATATATTGTTAAACAAACATTAATATAAAGTTTCATAGTATAAAGGTTTTTTTTTTACTAATATATAATCATATATATCTAAGGTCAAACTAGTACATTAATATGTGTGTCAAGTTTGACTATGATAATTATTTAGAAACGAAGAAAGTAGTACGACTACTCATAAAAATAAAATGGATAATAGTTGATTGGTCAATATATAACATAATTATACTAATTTTTGCTATTAGTATGGGAGGCCATTGTGGAAGGTGCCAACCGGAAGAAGGGATGGAACAATATCATTGGCTTCAGAGACTACAACTAATATACCTCCTGGTGCCTCTAACTTCACTGTCCTCTCAAACATCTTTGCCAATAAAAGTCTCTCGGTTCATGATCTCGTCGCTTTATCAGGTATTCATTTGAATTTGTTACATACACTCGGGTATACCGGCCATACATGCATCCAACTAATTTATAGTTAATTTTTGCTTGATAATTGTTTTAATATTCATGGGTGTACAGTACACCCGAGTGTATATAAATATAACAACCTTTCGGTATTCATATTCAAAGGATTGTTGTTGCATTATTAAGTGCTCTTGGACACTCGATCATAAAATTTTTTTACTCTCTTTGTCCTTAATTATTTGCCCCATACCTCAATTCTCATTTCACACTAATCACTAATCAATACGTACGTAATTTTAATTATTTTAATAATTATAATATCAATTGAGACAAATTATGAAATTTTCCACTTTTCTTTTATTATATTGGAATTATCCAACGAAAAATCAACAATAGTAAAAATATTATGGGACGTTTGATAAAATTGAATTTAATTTCGTTGTGCCTAAAGTTAATTAACTTCTGATCTCCAAAAAAAAAAAAAGTTTATTTACTTTAATTCTATCAAGTACATTATTTTCTTACTTCCTTACATTTTATACGTTACTTATTAATGAAGGTGCACATACCATCGGAGTTGGTCATTGCAACTTTTTTAGCAGAAGATATTCAACTTCACTGGAAAAGGAGATCAAGACCCATCATTAGACCCAGATTATGCAGATTTCTTAAGGACTCAATGTAAAAACTCAACTGATCGCATAACCACTGTTGAGATGGATCCCGGAAGCTCGCTCTCATTTGACAACCATTACTTTAAGATCTTAAAGGATCGTAAGGGTCTTTTTGTATCCGATGCTGCTCTCCTCACCAATGATGATGCTCGAAAATTTGCCTTAAAACTTCTTAACCCGAAAAAATTCTTTGATGAGTTTGCTAAGTCTATGGAGAAAATGGGAGCTATTGGTGTGCTTACAGGAAATCAAGGCCAAATTAGGAAGCACTGCAGTTTGGTTAACTAATTAAAGTACATTTTTAATTATCATAATCATAATGATATAACTTATGTTTACATATTTTATTACTTGTTTATTTCAATAACAATAAGGGTTCATGATCATATATAATCATGTGTAAAATTGCATATTTTTGTTTATCTTTTCCAACCTCATCAATAAATTGATGTCAACATGATACCATCCAATGTATACACTAAGGAAAAGTCAATGGGTTAATATAAATAACATGATGTTAAGTTGTTTACATCCAATCTGATATCTAATGATCTAATCTATCTTGATAGATTTGGCGATGTTCTCATGACATTTTTTCTTTTACTAGTTCAGAATTTGAAACTTGAATTTTAAGATTGTTATGGCATATCTAGTCTGCAGCTGGCGGAACCAGCAGAGGACAAGGGGGACAGCTTCACCCCACTTTTTTTTTTTTTTTTTTTTTTTTTTGGTTGGTAAACAAAATAAATACTCAAAAGTGACCTCTACACCCCACTCATGGCTTTCATCGCTAAACCATACTCCTAGGTACATAACAATAATTCCTCAAAAAAAAAAAAAAAGGTACATAACAATAACAAAATATGAAAGTGAAGTACCCGAAGAAAGGACATCTAGGATCAGGTTTTTCAGGTTCTTCGGTGCTTGTTGCGGGCATTTAATGGCTATAACTCCCAGCTTGCTATCCGTCCCGACCTCCGGCTAGGTAACACTTGTACATGGTTGTGTGATCCCTTCCCTTAAGGCTAAAAGCCTGCATTGCAGTGCTGAAGATCCTATGACTCGCTTACATCCTTCCTTGATCAGGATTCCATCCTTATCGATCACCCATATCCAACAGCTGCCGCGTCTAATCTCCCTTTCGTTCTTTTCCACGCCCCATCCACAGTTACTATTGCTACTAGTTGCGAATCATGGGTTCCTCTCTTCCAGTAGTTAAGCTCCTCTATTCTGTGACAAATAGAACTCTGCCCTTGTTTAACACCCTTTCCTTTCTTCTAATCTCTGCAAGTTTTAGCAAATGCCTCACTACACATGCATTTCTATCAGTCTGGTAGGCGAGCTAGTCCCTCCCCTAAATATGATCTCATTTCTATATATACATATGCTCCATATGGTGACCAGAATAGCACCAGGGAATGTGGGATTACTCGACTTCATTTTCATAGCATATCTAATATTATTTTTCAACCACACCTCAACTGGTAAGGAATCATCCCGGATCCTAATCCCCAAATGCCCACAGAGCCAAATTCTTTTGGTCACTTGACAGACTCTGAATAGGTGCATTGTGGTTTCCTGTTCTTCATTGCTAAGGACACATAAAGAATTGAAATTCACACCTCGCTTAACTAGACCTGCCTTGCAGCTGCAAGCACTTTGCATTATCTTTCAATTAAGCAACAACCAAGTCGGAGTGATATTCAGTTTTCAATATTCTCTCCAAAACTAGATCTCACTCACATCCCCTGAGAATCTCATTAACCATTTGTAGCCAGATTTGACAGTGTATTCCCCATTCTTTGTCTCCCCCCATAAGATCTCATCATTCATCTCATGTTTCGAATAAACACTTAGAACGTTTTTTGCGTTCTCCAAATCAGATATCTATAAAGAATCAAATATTGTGAGAAACTACCTAATAAAAAAATATTGCAAGACACTATCCAATAAAAAGTTAAATGTTGTCAAATATTACCTCTGGGCGGATTTCTACCATTGACCCCGCTGGATTTCCACCGTTGACTTAATTTCCTAGCGTTGGACCAACCTCAGAACACCGCAAGGGTTGGTTTTAAAGGTGGTTTGGGGATATTCCTAGTTGGTGAAAGTATTGTTGGGCTACAGCCTACAGGATGGTGATTTTGGGGTAAGAGGTGGTGGTCCACCATTGACCCCGCTGGATTTCCACTGTTGACTTAATTTCCTAGCGTTGAACCAACCTCAGAACACCGCAAGGGTTGGTTTTAAAGGTGGTTTGGGGATATTCCTAGTTGGTGAAAGTATTGTTGGGCTACAGCCTACAGGATGGTGATTTTGGGGTAAGAGGTGGTGGTTGTGGGGTTGGAGGGTGGTTTCAGTGTGGTAAAGGAAGTTTCAAGCGAGTTGTGTTGGTTGCGCGGGTGATATGAGGTGCGTGAATGCCAAAAAATTATGTCAACAGTGGAAATCCGACCAGAAATAGTATTTTATAACATTTTACCTACCTTTTATTAAGTAGTTTCTTACGACTTATTTTTTAGATCATTTGTGAAAAATTACCTATTAAAGTATAGAATTTGCGAGAAACTACCTAATAAAAAAATGTTATAATTAACTACATATTAAAGTACAATATGTTGTAATTAACTACCTTCCACCGGATTTTCATCTTTGACCATTTTTCTTCGGCGTTGACTTGGTCACGTTTTAATCACGTGACTATTTTCCACCCTTTTTTCTCCCAAAATCCTTGATTCACCCCATTAACCCCAAAAACCCCTAATTTTAGCTCGTACGCCATTCTTTGAGGCAAATTCTCCTCCTGTAGGTTGCAATTGAGGTAGGTCTTCTTTAATTTAGTTTTCTGCATTGGATTTCGATTGAAACCCTTTAACAATTGTTGATTTTGTTCCCATAAAATTCATTTCCATGAGATTGAACACTAAACTTCTTGCTTTGCTCTATTTTTTTGGCCTTTTTTGGGCGGCAGTAATGATTTTGTGGCTGTTGGGGTGGTGAGCAGCAGCGTTTGGTGGCGAGAGGTGGAGATGGGTGTGCTGCAATGGACGTGCAATTATTGCGAGATGGCGGATGAGTGGGAGAAGTTGTGGCTGTGATGTGAGATGGAGTTGATTGCTGGTGGTGAGTGGTGGCAGCAGTTGCTGCTGTTATCCTGTTGTGGGCGAGAGAAGAGAGATGGCTGGGGTTGCGGTTTGTGTTGTGGGTGCTTCTTGGTGTATGCGGTGGAGCAGGGCGTGATTGGAGATTGGTAATGGAGGTTGGTTGTAGTTGTGGTGGGCAATTTTGGGGAAAAAAGGGAGGAAAAAAGTCATTAAGTGTCACATGATCAAGTCAACGTCAGAGAATTTTGGTCAAACTTTATATTCCGGCCTTAGGTAGCAAATTACAACAATTTTCAAAAATCAGGTAGTTAATTACAACATTTTTTTTAATAGGTAGTTTCTTACAAATTCTAGACTATAATAGGTAGTTTTTTCACAAAATTTCCTATTTTTTTATTAGGTTGTCTTACAAAATCTAAGTTTTATAAGGTAATTTTCGACAAAAAACTCTTTTTTTATATACTCAAATTAGCTAATAATCCTTCACGTGACATGTTTTTATACACAAATTAGCTAATATGACAAATAATTATATATAGGAAAATTTGTCAAGAATAAGTCAACCTTTGTCTGGTTCGCTCAAAATAAGTCAACCTTTCAATTAACTCAAAATAATTCAACCTTTATAGGGTATCCACTTTAAATGAGTCAAGTGACCTACAACCGGTTATTAACTGATTATTAATGTTAATTGTGACACGTGTCAGAATGTGGTTCGTCATTTTTCTAATAATAATTAATTAGGAATTATTATATGATTAATTATAAAAAAATCTATTAATTATAAAAATAAAATAAAAAACCCAACCTAACCCCCCATCACCCTCCCCTGCCAGCTCACCCCCCTCCCTTGCCAGGCCGCCGGTGGCCGGCGACCACAAAATTCCCCGGCGCCGACACCGACGACCTCTCCCCCCACCCACGACGCTCCCACCCAACCCCTTCCCCTTTCCACATTCCTTTCACCTTTCCCCACCCCGACACGACACCACTCCCCTTCACCCCCTGCCGGAAACGACCCCCCTCCCCCGTCTCCCTGCCGAAGTCGACCCCTCCCTCCCCTTCCCCACCGTCAGTCCACCCCCCAAATCCTTAAACCCACCCTAACGAAATCTTAACAAAATCAGAATCAGGGTTTAAGTATTTTGGGGTGTCGATTGACGGTGGGGAAGGGGAGGGAGGGGTCGACTTCGGCAGGGGGGTCGGGGTGGGAAAGGGGAACGGGAAAAAGTGGGGGGCATTGTGGGCGGCGGTCTGGCAGGGGAGAGGGGTTGGCGTTGTTTTCCTTTTTTTTTTAAATTTATAATTATTAGATTTTTTTTATAATTAATCATAAGATAATTCCTAATTAACTATTATTAGAAAAACGACGAATCACATTCTGACACGTGTCACAATTGACCTTAATAACCGGTTACAACAAGTTTTGACTCATTTAAAGTGGACACCGTATAAAGGTTGGATTATTCTGAGTTAATCGAAAGGTTGACTTATTTTAAGCGAACCGGGCAAAGGTTGGCTTATTCTTGACAAATCTTCCTTATATATATGCCCAACCACTAGCAATGCTCATCACATGAACCTGGGAAAGCCAAGAAGTGGCATAATGAGGGTATAAACACACCATATCTTATTTAGTTAGTTATAAGGGGAAAAAATAACAATAAAAAATATAATGAATAAATCGTACGGATTACTAAAAAAGTACAATGATTCAATATCTAATTAATAGGACAATTTTGCAATGGCCACAATAAAATTGGAAAGAGAGCTCTAACCACTTGAGCTATCCTTCACTCTCACATGATTGACTAAATAATTATTATATTCATATTTGTATAAAAATAAATAAAACTAGATGAAACCCGTGCGATGCACGGTTTGTTTGCATTTTTTTAAAATAATTTTTTATATATATATATTTATGTGCTAAAATTTGTTATATATTTAGATAAAATTCCTAATATCAAAAGATAATATTTTATATTTAATTAATTTAAATTGGAAAATCTCATTCGCCAAATTTGCTTATGTGTCATATATAACAAATAGATGAAGCCCATGCGATGCACGGTTTGTTAGTATTTTTTAAAAAAAATATTTTTCATATTTATGCGATTAAAATTGTTATTTTATTAGTTTTAAATATTAGATAAAATTTCTAATCTCAAAAGATAATATTTT